TTACTCCCAGTCTATTGGCTCAATTCCAGAATTGCTGGTGTCAGATTCTACAGCTCCAGGTTTTTTATGAAGAGGGGTACCCAGGTGAAAAGAACTACATTATCTCTCTTCAGTGCCACATAGCACTCCAGACCTTCCGCATCTGAAAAGATGGAATGGAACAGACTTCCACAGTAGAACCCAGAAGCATGCTCCTGGTTTCTTCTGTTTTTCTGGGGGAGAGAAAGGAGGAATAAAGGAAAAGGGTAAGGATGAGATGAGAGAAAGGGTATTACAAAAAATTCAGATGATTGAGAAAATCTAGAGATGTAAGAAGGTTTAGACTGATGGGTGGCAGGGTACATTGTGCTCCACCCATGAGCTGCCATGTCCAAGGAGGCTAAGACATATGTGCTATGGGAGAGATGCAGACTGCAGCACATCAAAGCAGTTGTCAGCTGAAAGATTCTGCTGCACCTTGGGTTGGGATCAAGTTGGAGATGGAGCCTGTAATTTGGAAAGTCTGCCGTGTTTAATTCTCTTCACCTTTTGAGAGGACAGAAATGATCCCTACACCTTGCAGGAGAAAATGGTCATTGTTCTTCTAATCTAAACCCTCTAGAGGATAAAGAGAAGATTCCACATACAGGGCTGTAGCAGTAGTGTGAGGGATAGGACCCCATGAGGCACAGTTTTCCAAACACATCAGGCAATCTAAGCCCACTAGCTCTTGCAGGGCCCAGAAGAAAAAAACAATCCTGAACTGGTGCTCTGCATAATAACAAAGTCATCTCTATTTAATAGACAATTATTTAATAGACAGAATACAGAGCTTAGGACTGCTGTGGTAATGTCAAGAACCACTCTGAATGCTCACAGACTGGAAGTGTGCTGACACAGCACTACTGGCAATTAACTGGCTGTGGATTACCACCCTCGGTGTTTCTTTCCCAACCCAATCTGCCTTTGCATCCTGTGATTTCACTGTGCCCTGTTGTCAGTGGTTTAGCGGATCTTTGCTCAGTGTTCTCTGATGAATGTAGTCAAGCCTGATGTGCTTCAGACCTCTTCTCTCATGCTGGTACAGCTGTCAAACTGAGATGCCTGCCTAGTGTGAAGGCTTGTAGTTAGGTGACCTTCTGGCACATTAGGTAAACCAGAAAGAAAGGCTCAGAAATTACATTTTACCACATGACACCTGGAGATGTGAGACATGGCTGGGCTTCCAGGCACACAGTACAGAGCCCTGTCACAGGAGCCAGAGGAGTAACCTGCTAGCAGAAAACACTTCCTTTCTGAAAATCTAAACCCAAGTAGATGGGACACATTTTCCCAAAGGACTCTGTAGCTATTGGCTGTTCTGCAGAGTAATGCTGAGAATAAATTAAATCCACTTCTGGATTTTGGAGACAGAGGTGGTTGCAGAAAGAACAGCCAAGTATCTGGTAGTCTCCTAGAACACTAGAGAAGTATGTCTCTTACCCAGATTTGTCCCTTCCTCTTGATTCTTCTATACCCCTGAAGCCGTGTCAACCCAAGATGCCTCTGCCTCCTTGGCTCTCATCTGCTCTGTCTCTGACCTTTTTGCTTCTGCACATCCCACCCTGCTTGTCCCTAGGTGCTGTCCCATAGCTACTCTTTTAAGCCATTATTTTTGTCTTCCTTCTCCCCTTTGTTGCTGTTTCAGGCTGATTCCAAACCCAGGTGGCATGGGGTGTAGGAGAGTGGGGTGAGGCCAACTCTCTGTCCTCTGCTCATATTTTGGGTTCTCTGAGCTTCTGTGGCAGAAGCATGTCTGCACTAGGCAAGTCTTCAGCGAAGATAACATCTGGATTTCAGACAAGCTCTGCTGAGCATGTGCAATTGGAAAGCAGTGATTTACAGCTGGGTCAGATCTGACAGAATTTTCATATGGCCAGTAAGTCCAGGATGATGATCCCAGGGATCAATCCCCACTAATTTCAGGCCCCTGCATGAAGCACTGAACTTCACTGAAACCACTGTAAGACTTTTTCAGCATAGACCAACCATCATATTTTTCACCAACATCATTCTTGGAAGTTCCTGACCAACATTCAGTGAAACATTCCCAAAATAAAATTCAGCCCAACACAGAGATCAAGGACGGAAAATTTCAGCCTAGACTGATCAAAATATGAAAAAATTAGAAGCAGCTGAAAAACGTATCTTATAATCAAAAGTGTTAGACTGTCTTAAATATAAGATTTGTTGCCATCTCCTCCTATAACAGAGGGATGGCTATTTAAATATTCAATTTGAGATAGACTTTCTGGCATGACTGACAAGAATTTCCTTCCAAACATGAGGCATATGCTCAAGAAAGACATCTGATAAGGAAAACCAGTGGTTGACTGTATGCAAACTGTTATGTGATCTGAATTATTTACATTGCTTAGAGTTCACCAGATTCTTCACTGAAGTGTTTCAAAGTCCCAGACTGAACCGACCACTAGTGGATGTATCAGTGAGAGAGATGTCAGTTTGACCCACAGTGATTTGCCATCTGTGAAAAGCAAACAAATACAACCAAGCGGAGTAGCGAGCATCGTGACTGTAACAGGAACTGGAGCACAGATTTACAGAGGATCTTTGTGCTTGGACTCATGAGCTTTTGACTATGTTAGTATTGAAAAGTAAGCAGCTGCAAACCCCCAGCTATGCAGATCTGTGCAAAAATTGAGCTTTGGCTATTGACCGCTTGACATTCTACCTGCAAGCCTGGACCAGATGTGCAATTATTTCCTATATTATTTTATACAATTTTCAAAAGAAGACAGCAAGGCTTCCAGCAAAGTTTTTAAAGGGAGGGAATAAGGGAGAGAGGGAGGCAGGGAATAAGGAAGGAAGGGAGTGAGGGAATAATGGAGGGAGGGTAAGGGAAAGAAGGGAGGAGGATAGGATCAAGGGAGAGAGGGAGGGAGTACTTTTATTGTACTCCAGTGAAAGGGCTCCAGAACTTTAAAACTTGTCCACTTTTTTTTTTTTTTTAGTATATACAGGGGCTGTAATAAAAGATATTACCTCTGTGGCAAATTTTGATTTCCTTACAATTTAATAGTTTCACAGCTAAATCATGGGAATAATATAAAATATGAGAGAAAATACTACTTTTGCAACAAAAAAGTCATTGCTACTTTGAATAGAGCCCATTGCTGAAGGAAGAAAATATATCTAGATGCAAAGTACAGCCTCTTAAAAGCCACAGCACAAATGCAGTGATTTTCCCCCTTTCCTGAAATATGATCCATAATATGATCCAAAATACAGTAGGCACAGACTATTTTTAATTCATGTAAAATTATGATAATCATGAAACCATAAACTTTATGGTTTGGTGAGCTGCCTGCAATGTGCATCCCTAAAGTAGGGGAGTCCTTAGATCAGCATAATGAGAAATATGGCAGAGGACCCTGCAGACAACTTGTAGGCTGAAACAAAGATCAGGGCAGTAGTTACATTTATTGCTGTGCTGTGCACCAGAAAATGTTAAGAATAAAACACAGGGAATGAAGATTTCTAAACATATTAGCAGGCACTCTTGTGATGTGATCGTAGTGGTTTTAATGCCATAGTGTCTTGAAGGCCAGCAAGTACTGGGGTTTTTGTTGTTGTTGATGTTAACAATATAAATTGATATATGTGACCCAAACCTGACATCTAGTGGAGAAAGAATGAGGGCAGGATTTTCGGTCCTTTCCCAGGGATGTACTGGGTTGTCTGCACATAGAGAGACACTTTGCTTTTCTCCTCAGAAGTGACCTGAAGGCCATCTGCTGCACAGCTCTTCCTGAGAGGAAAGCAAACCAAAGAGCTCGTGGGCACTCTAGGTACGTGTGCACACCTTGTCTCATTTGTGACACCTGTATCCATAGCTATCAGTGCCAGAAGCTAGCTTCACACTGCTGTTGGCAGACAATGAGCTCTGAAGGCTGAATTTTAGCAAGCTTCAGAACACAACAGTAGAGATGACCATGCCTGCTTGAGTTTGAGCGGGATCTTGTGAATACATCTAACAGAAGAATAGGGTTTCACTGCAGCTGCATAGATGGTGTCAGCGACCTACAATTTCTGCTGTCAGGAACTTTAGGTCTGCAGTCCTGGACCAGACCAGCCAGTTGAAGACCAGGTTCTGAGGCTGCAGTTCTGTCCAGCTTCCAGCTCTTTCCCAGTGCGTTGGCTCTCATTGCCCCAGCTGGGCTGCTTGGGCTGGAAGGACAACAGTACTGGTAAAACTCTGGGAATCTTTTAACAAGTTTCTTCCTCATCCTCTACATGCCTTATCATAATATCTCAATTTTCAGTTAGTAAAAATCAAAGCTTCAGATCTCAGATACACATGGAAATGTTGAAAGCATGAACCCTGAAGGCTAAAAAACCCAAAAGACAAATAAAACTGTAAAGTATTTATTTTTCATATCTTTTGAATTTAAGGTCTGTTGGCACCTCAGTCCTGGTTTGTAATGCTAAAGAGAGGAGATGGAGGGAGGCACAGAGAAGTCCCACCAGCAAAGGAAAAGAAGGACTGGCAGTCCTCTTGGGAGATGAATGAGTGGAGGTCCAAAGGAGGGAATCTGCAAGCCCAGTAGGAGAGCAACTGGATCATAAGAGCACTCATAGCCCATTAAAAATGGCAGAAGACAAAGGGTATTTTAGTTGTTCATATACTGTAGGAAGCAAAAAATATCTCTTCCTCATATGCTGGTAAAGAGTCCAGGCTCTGTAGCTGTGGGTTGTAACAATTCACATTGTCTGTGGATCATCATTTTGGTAGGATCTGTAGCACATGAAGCAGCAAGTTATCAACAGTTTAGAGATTCAGTAAAACTCCTGAAATACTGTTGCTCTCCTAAATGAATGCACAGCCATCAGCAACTGCCAAAGAGCTCAGCCCCGGGGCTTTGTCCCAAGCAATCGCACCACTGATGCATGTTTTTAGAAGGAATTTTTAATCACCTGATAGCAAAACAACGTTAGTGTTATACAAACAGTACAAAGTTTACCACAGGATTGAGCTTTAATCTCTGATGGTTGCTTATTGACTCTAGAAAAAACTGAATCTACTCAGTGAAAAGACCTTCTCTACATCCTGTTTGCAGGCAAACTTGAAGGAGAAGCTCTCACCTCCTGCAGCTCTCCCTGAAACTCAAAGTAAGTCTGAATCCAGATTTGAATTGGGAAACAGGACTGGGCCTGGGTTGTTTAAAATTCCTGTTTTATTCTGCCATGAGAGGACTTGGCTTATCTTATTGTGCTTTCCATCGTTTAAAATATGTCACGGTATATATGTGAAGACTTGTGCTATCAGCAGTGCTTGATGTCTTGAATGCACAGAGAGCAGGTTTGGGATACTTACATCACCTAATGCCTGTCAGATGAGACAAAAAATACTGAAGAAATCCGTTACATTTCTTCTTCTTCCAATGAGTGCCTCATCTTGGGCTCTTTTCTAGCATAAAATTTTAAGTCCTAATTTTCAAATGTAAGCACAGGTACCTCAGTCACTGAGACAACTCCGTGCCCGCAGCTTGACAGGTTGTTTCTGTGTACATAACCTGTGTGTTTATCTGTGCCAGAAATGTACAACGTCAGACACATGGGATTGATTTTGGTGAAGCTTGCAACCCCTGCTAATCTGCGGTGGGAGGCTAATCCTGAAAATTGGGATATTTACTTCTTCCTATATATTTTTTAGAAAAATCAAACTGAACCACTGCTGTTTAAAAACGTCATGTTTTCATATACTTTACTAAATCCCTATTTTAATCAGAACTGTGGAAGTAATTGCAATAAACAATTTAGCAAATTGACTTTCTCTGTGTTTTTTACATGTTTTTCCTCACACACAGCCATGGTTTGCTAAACATTAATTTGCATAGCTTTTAGTCCTGGCTACTTCAAAAGTATGCAGGCATTTGCTGGTCAGCATTTATGTTGGTTTGATTAGACATCTGGGTAACACAACATCACTTCTCTTCCCTGAGAGGCTGAGCGCAGTTCTTAGAAACATGTTTCATTTTGCAGAATTTGGTTTTTGCCAGTGTTTTCTCATGGTTTGTCCAAATTCTGTATGCTCCTTTTATAGTATATGTCATGTAATGCAAACACCCAGAAGATATTTGTTAGAAAAGAGAAATAAAGATCTGTAGAAAAGGCTTTGTTTTTTCCACAGTGTTGCTGTTCCGCTTGCACGCAGAATCTGGACATAGTTTTACAATGTGGTCATGCTGGAGCAGGTTAGATGTGCACTCTGTATTTACTTGCTTCCAGATTTCATAATCTTGAATTTCATCACTGTGTTCCATAACTAATTGTTCAGTCAGGGAGCCATCCTTAGGGATAATCTAGCAAATGATGTTCTGGGACAAACTTTGAGAAGAATTAGTGGAACAAATAACCCAGCTTGTTTTAAGATGGAACTTATGACAAAATTACGCAACAAAAAGATCAGAGGACCTAAAATGTCCTCTTCAGGCTGCTGCTTAAAACAGAATAAAGAAAGGCACAGAGATGCAAGCTTCTTATAGCTGCATCTGCAAGTTTTCATTATACCAGGGGAGAAGGCACATTCATAGACTGATGTGCACAACAGACAGAGACAACCTCTCAGCAGCTCTTCTAAAAGACAGATGGCTCCAAGGTTTGCATTGAGTGACATTAGAGACCCTGAAAGAGAGAATGACAGTTCAGGGATCTAATTTCTGCTCCATGTTTTTCTTTTCTTCAAGGTGTCCAAGCCTCTCTCAGCAATGGCTATGGTGTGTCTTTCAGACTTTGAAGCCTATGCTAAGAAGTATTTACCCAAGATTGCTTGGGATTATTTTGCAGCTGGAGCAGATGACTGTAACACACGAGATGAAAACATCTTGGCATATAAAAGGTAATGTTAGGTGGAAATTAGGGGTGTTGTACTGGGAATTTTAAACTACGTTTTTGTGCAAGTGTTTGGGCTTCACAAGCAAAGACACCTAAGACCTTGCCCTTTCAAGGTGATTCCCAAGCAAAATGCACTTACCTGAATGATATATGCTGCATGGTCTGATGCCAGCCTGACTATGACAGAGATTGTGTGAGGCATAAGTGATGCTGAGGGTACAGGCAAGTGGTAGAGTAGGGTAAGGTAGGATAGGGTATGGTACTGTGTGGTATGCATGGCATGACAGGAAAGGGGATGAGTAGCTATAATAGAATGAGATGCAACAGGGAGCTCTTGCTGAATACAGGAAGTCTAAGTGTAAGTGGGACGGGATTTGGGGAACATGCTGCAGAGTATGAGGGCAGCCACACTGTACAGTGAGGACAGAAATGAATGGTGGAGTGGAAGGCACCAACCTGGGACTGGGCTGCAAGTAGAAGGAACCTGGGGGGTGGACAATGGGAGAAAAAGACACAGAATCACAGAATATGCCAAACTAGAAGGGACCCACAAGGATCATCGAGTCCAACTACACGGTGAGCTGAGGTGGGAAATGCAGAAATTATGTACTGTGGCCAGTAAGCAGCATTAATGGAAAATGGAAGTGGTGAAACTTTTGGCTGAACTGACCTTTAGAAGTGAACAGGAAGGACAAAGAGCCTCTGTTATATGCTGTTCTATTTACTGGCTCAGATTCCCGCCTTGTAGTTGGTAAATGAAGACCTGGTTTCCATGAAACTTCAGAAAAGTCACTGGGATTCTTTTTGCCTTGCAGAATTCGTTTCCGGCCACGTATGCTGCGGGATGTATCCATGATGGACATTAGGACTAAGATCCTGGGGACTGAAATCAGCTTTCCTGTAGGAATTGCCCCCACTGGCTTCCACCAGCTAGCATGGCCTGACGGAGAGAAAAGCACCGCCAGAGGTACTCTTCTGGTCTGCTGCCATGTTGCAAAAAGGGGTTTGTGGAAAAGTCTCAAGAAGCTGTTACGATGAAGTGTGACTGAACAAAGTTTTCAGGCTTGAAGGGGCAAACTTCTTTCTCAGTTTCTGACACCCCACATGGGAAGCTGTATAAACATTGCTCTACTTCTCCAGCTACCACTATTATAAGATCCTCACTGTGGAATATGCTGCAAACTTAAGACAAGGGTAGTGGACCCATTTCTGATTCACACCAAGAACCACATAAGGTTCTTGGTCCTAGTGGTTCTAGATAGGTCATAAAAGTGGTGGATGAGACTCAGACTGTGAATTCCTTGTTATCAGTGAAGAAGTGTCTCCCTGGGATAAAAAAAGGGATGGTATCTCTTCACAAATCCTATGGTGGGTTTGGAGACCTGATGTTTTAAAATTACTCTTCTGCGTGTTTCTGTGTACACCAAGTGAAATTGACAGTGCATCCCTGTGAAGACTCAGTCATAAAGATAAAATTCATGCTTTAAAAAAAAAAAAAGTTGCAAAATGAAAGCACACCTTGGTAAATTACCCCTCTCTTTCCCGCTTTCTTAACCATGATCCTACACTAGTGCATAAATACAGCTACTTTTAAGCTGGGGGGCATAGTTGCACTATGCTTCCCAGGGTACACGTAAAATAGGAGTTCAGGAAGTGTCTGCAAACAGTACAACATTTTCTATCTGATGTCTGACGAGATGGTTCAAATGACTTTGTTTCTGATTCTTTTCCAATGTGACCTGAAGCTGCCAAAGCCATGAACACCTGTTACATTGCCAGCACCTACTCCACCTGCACGCTGGAGGAGATCTCTGCGGCTGCTCCAGGGGGTCTCCGGTGGTTCCAGCTCTACATCCACCGCAACAGGGCAACTTCCCAGCAGCTGGTCCAACAGGCGGAGGCCTTGGGTTTCCAGGCCCTTGTCCTCACCACAGATGTGCCCTACACGGGTAAAAGACGCGACGATATCCGCAATGGTTTCTGCCTTCCACCCCACATGAAACTGAAGAACTTGGAACGGGACTTTGAGGTTTGTAAAATGAGTCTGTCCTTTCATTCACTCTGCTGGCATGTACCACATGAGACAAAAACCACTGGGGAACTGCTGCTTTGGCATCTGCTGCACCCAGGGCGTATCTTCTCCCCTTCTGGTTCTGCAGCATCCTGCCTTGATCTCCTGCCAACCTGGGTTCTGACTTCAAAATCCCCATCCAGATGCCTTAGACACACCCCCACTGTAATTTCTCTCCTTCAGAGACATGTGCTTTCTGGAACTGACGAACATGTCTGTTAGCAAGTTTAATTAATCTTTTCTACAGCAAGGAAAGACTTCAAGGGACCTCTGAATTGTTGCAGCTGAGATGAGGCTTCTTTTTGTTCCATGGCTGTAGGGAGATGACCGTTCTGAGTACGGACTGCCACCCAACAGCTTGGATCCTTCTGTCACCTGGAATGATATCTACTGGCTGCAGAGCCTGACCCACCTGCCCATCATCATCAAAGGCATCTTGACAAAAGAAGATGCAGAGCTGGCAGTGAGACATGGAGTTCAGGGAATTATTGTGTCCAATCACGGTGGAAGGCAACTGGATGAAGGACCTGCCACTGTAAGTGAGGAAATGGATGCTCCATGACTGTTTACAGCTTGCACATTTGCGTTAACCTGGGTACCTCAATGACCAGCTTTGTGTGTACACTTTTGGTGGACTTGTATATGTTCAGTGGCCGTGGGTGCGTGCAGATGTACTTTAGCTTTAAACTCGTAAGATCCCTGACTGGGCTACCCACTGAAGTATTTTCTCAGCTTCTTGGGAGGGTTCTGTAAGTGTTGCAGAACCCACATAAGTGCAGATAAACTACCAGCCTAAGTCAGGAAAAGTTTTCTGCCTGTGTCTGCATGAGCTGATGCAGTGCACACAAACTCTTTGCACGCTGCAGCAAAAGGAAAACAAAGCTCTGGAACCAAAAATGTACAAATGAGAGCATAATGTATTCTCATTGTTCACATCTGTCAAAACATGCAAAACAATGCAGCTAGATTTAGTGAGAGGCCTGCTTGCGTATTTACAGACTCGAGTCTAAATGGGAATTTATTGACTTTCATGAGCCAGGAAAAGGATAGCTTATCTGGAAAAAAATTCCCCTGCTTTTTAAACTGTGCAAAGAAATCAAGCATTGTTTGGACATATGTGTATTTCACTGGTTTAATTTGGCTTCTCTCAGTTTTTCCAATTGTTCTTATTTTACAGTTCTGCATTGCATAGTATCTTACGAACTTCTTTTACTCTGTTTTCTTTTGCAAAATAAAAATAGGTACCAGAGAATTGTCTCCTATTCTACGTCAAGCCTGACAATAATTAATAAAAAAAAAATTATAGTCTAAATGCTGAGGGCATAATAACAGAAATGGCATCTGCATTAAATTGCTCTTCTACCATAGAAGTTTCTTCACATACACAGACAGGGCAATAGAAACATAGTTCAGCTCTGATATTCTTCTGGTACCAAGCCTGACAACGGAAACTATTGTCCCTGCCCTTGCTGAGCTACTCCTAGAAAATGTCAGCCTGAAAGTTTTCAGCCTGAAAGTTTTCAGCCTGAAATTCTGAAAAAAAAATGGGATTAACTGGAAAAGTCTGCTTAGTATTCTTAGTTATAGCTGCTCTATTTAAAAACAAAACCAAAAATTAAAAAAACCACAAACAACAAAAACCAAAACAAACCCAACAAACAAAAAATATTAAAAGGAGGCAAAAGGGTATAAAAGACTGTAGAAAAGATCCAATTAGGTCTAGTATAATGTCCTGCCTCTGGTTGTACTGCCTTTGGGATCAGAGCCAGCATCTCTGTGTGGTGCTGCACTACACTAGCAACTGGGACTACAGTCCATGCTGGACTCTACAAGAAAGACCTTAGGGAATCAGGAGAACTAACCTGGAGGAAATGATATGTTGACTATACTACAAAGCAAATTAAATCCTTCACAGATGCTTTAGGGGGCTTGAGGAGGCATTCAACAGGTAGTCACCAGGATTAGGTTGAAATGTAACGTTAGGTAGTTTGGACATCAGCCTTTTTACAAACATTTGTCTCAAATGAAAGTAAATTCTTAATAACACTTATTGCTATTGAAATTTATAAATAAAATCTTTCATAAAGCACTCACCAGAAGTGCTAGCAAAGAATATCAGTTTAGGCCAAGCAGTGGAAAATGACATTAACTATCTGGTAAACAGAATAGGGAGCAGCACTTTATCCTGCCGCTTTTGATGCTGAGCTGTTTGTGATGCATCGTCACATTTCATTTTGAGAAGGTATGCTATGAAAGCATTGACTCCCTGGCTGTCTCTTTGGAATATATCCTCTTTCTCTTGGAATCAAAAGGTGACCTCAGGATGAGACTGGATGCTTCTTTGCAGATTGATGCTCTGGTTGAAGTTGTGGAGGCAGTACAAGGCAGAGTCGAAGTTTATTTAGATGGTGGAATACGAAAAGGAAGTGACGTGTTAAAAGCACTGGCATTGGGAGCAAAATGCGTCTTTATTGGAAGACCAACTTTATGGGGTCTGGCTTACAAGGTGAGTGAGGAGCTTTCAGTTCATATGCCTGCTTCTCATACTCTCCAACACTCTGTTGTTATTGAAGTTGTAAAGAACAGGTTTTCACTGGTGAAGAATCTCTCTCTTTTTTTTTTTTTCATGGATTTTAAGTGGAATCACCCCAAACTGAATTCAAATCTGATATTTCTGTGATTTAAAATCACCACTGAATTTCATGGTTTCCTATATATGCTGCTTCTTAACTATGGGAATATTTCTACAATCCAGAGTAATGAATTAGGCCTCTGATGCAGAAAGTTAACATAATATAATTAAAATATTATTATACCAGTCATTTGCTTTACTAAATTTTTGCTATTTAGCCTCTCATTTGGAGCTTTCAAACTTTTCTCTAGAATAAAAAAAAATATTTATTTTTATGGTCTAGAAACATTTCCTATCTTTTGAATGAGACTCTTGTCCAGTGGTGTGATTGCTGTGGATTCCAGTAGCTAGGTTTTAAGGAAGAAGTCACCTGAACCTTCTGAGAAGCCTGGAAGAGTTGTCAGTACTGTTTCTTTTGCCAGTAAACATTAAAAAATAGGCCTAACATGAAAAGGGTGCTGCTGTGAGTTGCCTGCTTTTTTCCCCACAATGCAAGCAGAATGAAGATGGGATCTGGGGGCTTTAACTGTGCTTTGGTATTAAATTCCTAAAGATGAGTAAGTTAGAGGATTCAAAAAAATTATCTCAGTGCATTACCCTAGCATACAAGAGCGGAAGGGCATGAACAAGCACTAACATTGTCTGCACCCAAAACATTCTTTATTGTAAGAAATAAAATGAAAATTTAAGAGGAAAAAGAAATCATCCAGTATTTTACAAGAAGCTCAAAATCTTATATGCATTTTATTGGATTTTGAGCTTCTTGGTGTCACTTACACAGGGGAAAACGTACAATATATTATTTTTGAAGATTCAGTCCAGTATTTGAGTAAACTAAACTTTTTAAAGCAGTACCATGCATAAAACTCTCATTACTTCATTAAAAACTATTGGTATTATAAGGCTTGACATTTTAAATAACAAGCCAATTGGCAGAGGAAAACTGAAAACTAAGAGAAAAAAACAGCTAGAAAATGTCAGAAGTGAAAAACAGCTTTGTTTTCTTTCCATGTTCAGATGTATCACAAAAGGAAAAGCATTTAAACTAATCTGCGATGAACAGAATACATCCATCATACAGTTTTAATCATTCATCTGTATGAGAGACTGGAATTGGCATGAGCTTAAGGGACTGTCCCAGCTCTCACAGTGCAAGCATCCTGCAGCATTGCTCTGTGCCAGTGCTGCTTTTACCCTGAGTGCTTTCTCTGTCTGAGCAGGGTGAAGAAGGTCTCCAGGACGTTTTGAGAATTTTGCAGGATGAGTTTCGTTTGTCGATGGCCTTGGCTGGTAAGTATTTTGCAGGTTGTTTGCAATGGGTGATGATACAGAGGTTTCTTCATGCAAGCCACATAAAATCAGAAGTCTGACAGACGGGTCACAAAAAGGGAATCCACCTGAGCTGTGCTGGTTCTAATTGCTATATATACTAAAGGTGATTTTTTGCTCCCTAGAAAACCACTTGGCATTTCAGGTGTCACAGCAATGAAGCTTGCATGGAGGAAGTAGGTTAAAGCAGCTTTGTGACCCAGCTAAAGAGATGTAAAATTACTAAGTACAGCTGAGCAAAACTTGTAATTTCTGTTCTGCTGGGAACGGCAGGATATGTTTTTCAGTATTTAACATAGTGTTTATCAGGGCAAAATACAACCAATTTTTTTCTGCATGAAAAGTTCATTAAAAATGGATGCAGAATTTTTCTCTGCATACTGGAGAATACAGCTTGTTGGTGCAGGTACAAATCTCTGCATTCCACATGCCTTAAAAGCCTTTGTGTCTCCTCCAAGCTTTTACTTTTGTTCCTCATTCTCACTTCTCACCATCACCCCCAACTGTAGCTGCCATGTTTGATCCCCTCACTGACAGCAAACTTGCAGAGCACAGTGCAAACTCCAGTTTTACACATGAACAAGAGGGTGGTTGGGCACTGGAACAGGATCCCCAGGGAAGTGGTCCCAGCTCCAAACCTGCCAGAGTTCAAGAAGTGTTTGGACAATGCTCTCAGGGCACATGGTGTGATTCAAGGGGTTGTCCTATGCAGGGCCAGAAGATGGACTTCCATGATCCTTGTGGGTTCCTTCCAACTCAGGATATTCTATGATACTAAACATGACATTCAGATCCAGTGCAGAAGTATTCAGACACCAGCAAAGGATCTTATTAAAGATCTTTATGCTCTAGCAACCATGAAATCAAGTGGATAACAGTGCTGACTAGGAGACTGGAACTGAAATCTCATTGGGCATTTCTCAACAGGTTGGCTTTATAGGTCACTTTTTCAACTACCAAAGATTCCTACAGGGTGGGTTTCTTGGTTTTTTTGTGTTTTGTTTTGTTTTGTTTGGGTTTTTTGTTTTTGTTTTTGTGGTTTTTTTGGGTGTTTTTTTGTTTGTTTGGTTTTTTGTGGGTTTTTTTTGGTTTTTTTTTTTGTGTTTTGTTTTGTTGTTTTTTGTTTTGTTTTTTTTGCATTTTTGTTTTGGTTTTGGTTTTGGTTTTTTTCCCAGCAGGCTCTTACACTTTACATGCAAAAGGGCACTGGATTCAGCAAGAGTAGCAGGTTGGGATCTTTTTAGTGGAGGTTTGAAATTCATAGAATCATATAATCATTTAGGTTGGAAAAGGCCTCTAAGACCATCAAGTTCAACTCTTAACCCAGCACTGCAAAGTCCACCATGAAATCATGTCCCTAAGCACCACATCTCCATGTCTTTTAAATACCTACAGGGATGGTGACTTAACCACTTCCCTGGACAGCCTCTTCTAGTGCTTGATAACCCTTTATGTGAAGAAATTTTTCCTAATATCCAATCTAAATCTCTCCTGAACACAGGATTGAAAGTGCAGCCTCACCAGTGCCCAGTACAGGGGTATGATCACGGCCCAGGTCCTGCTGGTCACATTATTTCTGGTACAGGCCAGGATGCCATTGGCCTTCCTAGCCACCTGGGCACACTGCTGGCTCATGTCCAGCTGGCTGCTGACCAGAACCCCTATTCCACCCATTTTTGACCAGATGAAATGCCAGTGCAAATCTCCACCTCTGGTCACTTGGCACCCAGCAATCCCTGTGTCTTTTCTGTCTACCTTTTCTCTGCTGACTGGATCAGATAACACTCTGCTCAACTTGTTATAAGGATCGGGTTTTTCATGTTTCTAGCTCTACTTGTGTGGGAAGTCTGGTGCCTAACCTCAAGGCTGAAGATGCCATTGAGGAGTAGAACCACTGAAGTACCAGTTTATCGCAACCTGGCTCATACAAGACAAGACTGTAATTCAGAGACGGGGGCTTCCAAGCTTCATCCACAAACCTTTCTCTCTCACTGTTGTTTCATGTATTTCAGGCTGTGCCAGAGTCTCAGAGATTGGTCGACACCTGGTTCAGTTCTCCAAGCTGTGAACAGCCTCCTGCAACGCCCGCCAAACAGAGGCAGCTCAAGCTGAGATCCCAACCAGACTGAAGACAGAAAAAGAAGGAGCAATAAATATATGATAAGGCCTTCAGGAAACCTCTGAGGACATTAGAAAAGTCTCTGTGTTAGCAAAGCTGTGCTCTGCTTTTACTGAGACCAATGAATTCCTTAACAGTTTGGGGAGTTTTTACTTGCTTAAATTCTTTTGCTTTAAACTGGCTGTTCCATGGCCTTACTCTTGCCTTCTATTACATTGGACATCCAGACATGGAAAACTATGTGCCTTGCTTTTTCCACTTGGTTGTCCTACCAAGTCTGACCACAACTCAGTCACAGTTTCCTACTCTGGCACAGTAAGTGCTGTGGCCAGTATCTTCCATAGCTTGGGCTTTTCCCAGATGTGTTCATAACAGATATAGAAGCAAGGTGCATCAGTTAACAGGCACACCAGTTACCCTTTGAAGGTGGGGGCAGTTCTGGCCTACTGCTTCTAAATTCAGAGCAATGAAATCACTAGTAAGCAAAGGAGCACCCTGTGCTCCCTGCTGAGAGAGCCTCTTCCTTCACTACATAGTTAATTTGGGACCTCAAAGGACACCACAAGTTTGTGGCTGTGGGTACATCACTCACCTGGTGCCCTGGTCTCTGCCCACGCATAAGGGCGGCCAGCACAGGCTAGCAGAGTGGGCAGGAGCTGCTGGCACCACCCCAGCAGCGTGTGACCTTCACTCTCTGAGGACAGCTCAGAGGCAGGGTCACACCCGCTGCCAGCATAAACACTTGCTCTCCAATGTAACAGAAATGTGTGCTCATCCCTTCCCTGTCTAATTTTCTTCCTGAGACGTGAGTGTTGCCTCCCCACGAGGAAGCCAATGGCCCTCGGCTGTGACAGAGCTGCTTTCTGGCTGCCCAGAGCAGACAAGGAAGCCTGTACTGCCCACAGCTGAGGGAGCTACTGGGGAATGAAGATGAGGGAGTGTGGGGGCGCATATGGTCTTACAGTCTGGGCAGAAATCTGTTGATGTTGTATTATTTGGAGCTAATGTCCCTTGAGGTTTGTCTGTGTCAATAGGTTGCAGCATGAGTATTTATCCTGAACCGCTGTCCCTAGGAGGAGTTTAACAATTGTTTTTTAATCTTTATATAATGCTATCCAAGTAAAGGTGTAAAAAGAATTATCTACTTAAAATGTCTAAACCCTCTGTGTGCATATTTGGTCTTCATTATAAATGTGACGTGTAAATCAGTGGGGAATTGGGCCAGTGTAGCTGAGAATAAGCTGAATTTCCATAAAGAGTTTAACTGATTTAACTACTCTGGCTTAATCAGGTCTTCTCAATGAGGCTCAGTAAACTAAGATGGCACATACACAAAAACTGCTAATGTGCGTCATCTTTAAAAATGCAATGTAATCTTGAAAATATCTGGTAATACGCCTGACCTTGTTTTCTTATAAATAATTTTTATGGCCAGACTCGCCAGAGCGGCCGCTGATGTTACAGCAGTACAAAATGGCAGAGGGATGCCAGACAGCAATAGGATGCCACATGTCACTTTGTACCAAAGAAATACCAACTCACAGGGCACCTTCCCTACTTAGTGCACCTCCCAGTCTCCTTTGCACACAAGGCTCCCTTTCTTGGCAGAGGGCAATCTCAAACAGTGGTCTCCTGCAAACTGCATTGCCCTGCATACCACGCATGGGTGTGTGGCATTTCCCACCAAGTGGGGCCTCTCCCTGCTCTGCTTGGAACTCTGGCGGTAAAAAAAACTCTCTTCAGTAAAAGCATCAAGAATAAGTAGTGGCTGCAGACAGGGAAAAGTGATGCTTTGTAGGCTAGTGATCAAAGTTCTCCTGTGTATGAGGGTGAAAGTGGGGGCCTGAGGTCACTATTTCACCCACTAATTACTCAGAGGAAAATGCCACAGGAGTCCTGGGTGGATGGGGCTGCGCAGTTATCTAACCCTGGTTTGGGGTGCTGTGTGGCCAAATTCCAAGAAAGTGCCTGCTCTCCTTCCATGAAATTGCCTATGAGCTTCTTCGGTCAAGGCTTTCTCCTGGCAGAGAAGAGGTGCTGCTTTTTCTGTGGAGGAGAGAGCACCTGTGCTCCCCAATTCTTGCTGAGCATATTGACCTCTGGCTCCTGGTGTAAAAGGGAGAAAAGGGGCAGCAGCATCACCTACTTTTGCACATATCTTAAAAGAATCAAGTGAGGCTCGCTAGGTCCTAAACTTGCTAGGAGAGATGCTTCCAGCTCATGAAAATGGCAGTGGCTGAAGGGACCTGCTGGCAGACTGGAGACATCTGGTTAAGCTCTGGAGAGGAGCAGAATTTCCAGCATCCTTTCTCCATGACTTGTCTTGATGACTTGTCTCCAGGCATTTGAATTTTTTTAGATCTACTTCTAGAAATCTATAAGACCTAGACATGGGTATGGAAAGGGTGAGAGTGAGCAGGTACCTGAATTTAGCTACTGTCTTCTGGAACTGATTCTGTGAAATGGGAAAATAGGTAGTGAGGGGCTGGGACAACTGTTTTTAAGTTCTGTTTTCATGAAAATGAACTCCTCTGTCTCCCTAGTAGCTGACCATCAACACCTTTGCACCTTATTCTATACTCCCATTTACTGAAAGAAATCCCTTTTGTCTGGAGAAATCCAGGTGCTGAAAGATCATCCATTTCTTACCAGCATTTCAGTTAGACACCTTTCACTTGCAGTCAGACTCAATGTTCCATGCATGCAGCCAGTGTGATGGTTTGCTCACGCTGCTCCTCACAGCAGTCTGTGTTCCTTGGAGCTGAGGTAGTGCTCAAGACTGCTCTGCTGAGGCAGGAGAATCACTCATTTCAGGCTCCAGAGTCTCAGCTTTCATTTAAAACCAACAAAATCAAGATGGTGGAATGCATGCCATTGTTACAAATGTGAAGAAAATTTTTAAAGGAGGAAAGTCATCTTAAGAAACTCAGAGAGTCTGCTGGAGCAGAAACAGTAGTGACGGAAGTTGTCTGCACTGCTGAGCTGACTTCTGGTGGCTTCATTTACACTATTATTGAGTATATGAGATCAAAATCTGTTTTAAAGGAAAGGTAGTGTCACATCATGAAAATAAAAGCACCATGTTTTTTTTATGATCACCTTTTCTGGTTTTTCCCATGACACTGAAGCTGGGGGATGAAGGATAAACCCTACTAACATAGCCATAGAAATAGCAGCCTTTGATCAGGCTGTTCTATAGGTTTGGTGTATAAGATAGCACAAACATCTTAAACCAGAAATGTTTGCAGAGACCACTAATTTGAAAATCCTGTGATCTGGATGTCTAGTGGAGTACATTTGGAGCCATATTTGAAAAGGCATGAAGCACTTGTGAAATTAAGATTAGCAGGGGTCCAGGTCTGCAAGCATTCACAGAGCTGAAATATCTTCTTCTCTAATCCTTTCTCTTGCAATTGGCTCTTGAAAGCCACACAGATTTTCTATCTGATTTTTCAAACTATGCAATTGTATAGAATATCCCCCTAGCCTGTTTTCCCCTTTCAGATCAGCATGTATTCCAAAACTGAGGCCTGTATGCTTGGATAGTTCTGCATGCCCTGCCAGAGAGCAAGGGTAAGGGAAGATTTTTTTTGTGTAAGTATCATGCCTCGGGAATCAATAACAAAGGGGAATCCCTACTGAATTGGTCATGTGCATCTTGTGGGCAAATGGTAAAGCTACTCTTCAGCTGAGGTTTCAAGGGTGAGACTGCAGCAGAGTACCATTTCTGGGTGGTACTCTGCCACCCAGAGTGGGTGGCAGACTCCCTGCCACAGACTGCTTTGCATCTGGCAAATATCCTGGTGCCCGCTTCCCCACTGGTATGTGCAGGGGGAACCATGTTATCCAAAAGCGACCTTCTGCATAAACCCTACTTTAAATTGTCCCTAAAGAGGCAGAAGAAAGGAGCTAGCCCTGTTAGCTCACTGTTTAGGCTTTAATTTCTCTCAGAGATAAGAGTGTCTGCACTGATCTTCCAGGGGCCTTCACATGGAGGCCTTCCTCTCTGTTCCAGTAACAATAAACCTTGTCAGCAGACTGACAGCCTGGCAGATAAGACTCAGGAATTACAGCACATTGCACATGTTGATGGACTTCAAGGATGCACAACAAGAGAATGAGACAACTGGGAGTACTCAGTCCTGAGAAGGTTAAAGGCAGGATGATGGGGGATCACATTGCTGTCTTTTACTACTCATTTGGAGAAAATCCAGTCCAGCTTCTTGGATGTGGACAGTAAAAGGGTGAAAGGCAATGAGGAAAATTCCAGGTAGAAATCAGTGGAAAAAAAAATTCACCATGGCAGGGGGGATGTCAAATCCTGCAACAGAGGGTTTGTGAAACCTCCATCCTTAGAGATACTTAGAGATTGACTGGGCAAGGTCCAGAGCAACCTCATCTGATCTGATGTTACTTTAAGAAGAGATTGGGTCAGAGACCTCCAGAGGCTCCTTTTAATCTAAATTGTTGGGGGATATCATAGGATCATAAAATGAAAGCCACACATGAGATCTGTACTATGTTGTACCACTGTGCTGCCGTGATCAACTACCATGGAGCTGCAGAGGCAGCACATATATCTCTGTCAAAGAGGCTGCAGAAAGCATTTTCTGGGGAAGAAGAAAGGTGTTTGGTGTTTGAGCTTAAAAATAAGAGCATACAGGATTTGAATAGGCTGAGAGACTATTTAACAAGTCCATCCTACAGCTATTCCAGAAATGTTCTGTGATCCATGCCAATGTGTACCAAAATCTCATGCCCTCTTGTCTGCACTCTGTTCTTGCTTTCTGTATTTGACTGTTGTGAATATCTCGGATACAAATTCAAGCAAGGTTAAATCTTCCAAATAAACTGTGCCCAAAGGTTGTAAACTTGTGGGTTAAGGACTAATTAAACCCTGCTGTTTCACAGCATCCCCGGGGGATGTAGCAGGGACAGGGAATCAGTCTATTTACAACGGTAGTTTATCTACAAAATGGATCCAAATATAAACATTTTCCTTTGGCATATGATGCAAATTTCTCCAGCCTCTAAATATGTAATTTACTCATTATTTCACTTGAGGAAGCAGTTCTTCCTAAAAGAAAAGGGGAAAAGAGACTAAATGTTTGTTTCTAGTTAATTGCCCAACTCATGTGCTGTCCAATATAGCAAAGACTACTGCAAATAAGTCTTTTTGATTTTGGCGATCATGTAAGAAACATTTACAATCACTTTCTCCCTTCTACTGGAAGAATTTTGGTACTACTGAAATAGGAGGTATTTTCTTTTTCAGGTTTAAAGACATGGAAACATTGAGGTTTCTTAAGGCGGTTATCTTCATAACTTGGTTAAAGTGTCTTTTAACTGTTCCCCACTATGAAAAGTTGTATTTATTCAGAGTTTGATTCAGGACAGATGCCCAAAAGTTAATTATTTAAATCTTCTTCACTCTTGTCAATGTGTAACCAGAAGAGAGAGGAAAATGTTTCCAAGATGGAACAGTGCCTCTCACTCTGAAGGCCAGAAGCTTTCCTCGACTAAATCTACATCTCAAAGTACAGTCTCTTTCCTAGAGCTGCCAGCACCAAGGCATTTTGAGCTTACAGGCATGTGGTTGTAAGAAATACATTAATTTTTCACATGCAGACAGCAAAAGGTCCAGTTAGATAATGACCACGCCTTTGCTTTTCCCTGCTTCAATTCTCATCAGTCCAGGCAACAGAGCAGACTTCAGAAAACCCTTTCCTAAATTGGAAAAGATCTGTTCTTCTCTTCTTGATTGTGGATAGTTTCTTCTTTCTGATTGCACAATTAAACACCATTGCCCTCTGTAAAAGTACATTTTATCCTATCTAAAACTTCTGTGCTGCAATGTTATTGCATTTAATCATTCCAGTAGCATCATACAGTTCATTCTCAATGCTGCTGGCAATTTTCCCTTCACTATTTCTCGTTCTGTCTTTTCATCTCCACTACACTCCCTTCCAATACCTTTTTGTCCTTGTGACAAGGCTAAGAAAATGCACTTTCCAACATCTGACAGCCACTGCTCCGAAGTATCTGTCACACTAAGCACAATAAAGTCAGAGGACCAACAGTGTTCCTGGACCAGAGATTAGGGACACAGCTGTGATGGGGCATGGTGGATTGCACATATACTAAGATATCCACTTAGTCCATGTATAGCAATTCCCCAACACATGCAAAATGTACTGGTTTTCTAAAAATTCATTTTTAAAGCTCATTCTACATCAAAATATCAGATTTTTGTGGCTTTGTTTTACAATGAAGTCAAAGAGAAGACATCAACATAGTTAAAAAATTAGTATGCCTTGAGACAGAATGAAGCGTTGGTAAACTTTTTTAGATGCTGCTGAATCATGTTTTAGTCCACAAATCCCATACCCGTGCAATAACTCTGAATTTCATCAAGCTGTTCCTGGTGCTCAGGAGTCTGGTGGACTCTGGTCTTGTTGCTCATCGACACTGTTCTGGGGTGTACAGCCCACTCCAGCATCTGCCTCTGTGCCCCTTGGGGAACATCAAAGCCCGCCTCTTCTGCAGCACAGAGGAGCTGTCATGCCACCCAGCAACCCCACACAGCAATGTCAACAAGAACCAAATGAGAAAATGTTGACTCAAGGTGAGACTGCAGGAGACACCAGCAGGTCTGAGTGGTGAACTGAGCAAACTACTGCTGTCTGACCACTGACATTCACAAACGGCACTTCAGATGAAGGCTGCTATGCAGTGTTGTATAAAATTACCTCAAACTAAGCCAAGCATTTGGTTGAGTAGTACCTAAGAGGACAAAGGCACAGCAGCAATAAATCTCCCTGCAGTCCCCTATGCAGCACTCATTCTCATATAAGCACTACCCCTGACTAAACTTGGTCATTCTAATAGGCAAGCTTGGTGTAGGAGAGTGGTTTCTATCTTAAAAGGCTATGCTTTGTTGTCTGGTTTTATAATGCCTCTTTAAGGCATTTTATTTCTTTCCTAAAAGTAAAAAGAAAGCCCTGTTACAGAGAACATCACTTGCAGCAGCAGGCTTTGACCAGTTATTTTGCCTTGCAAAGTGCACAATATTAATTTGCAGCAGCTTCTGATAAGAACATACAATGTCAAGGTCCTGCTGTGAAAAGCCAAGGAAAGAAGCACTGATAACAATTTTTTAAAAGATTTGTTACTGTAAGGAAAGGATTTTCAAGGATGCAAGCATTGAAACAGTTGCCAAAACTTTGTCATCTGTGTCAGCTAGAAACCTTTCTCCTCCAACAGAAATAGTTTTGCTCTCCTCCTGTCCCTTGCAGGCCTAGTTTTGCTCTAAAAAATTAACAATGTGGGGATGCTTCTTGTAAAGATTTTCTCCAGGGCTCTCTTTAATGAGTGAACAAAATCTATGATAGATTAAAAAAGGGAGCTTAGCAGTTAGTCGTGTGAATGGAAGCAAAGCATTTTTAGATATCCATTCCAGCTGTGCCCAAAATCAGTGATCCATTTTCCGGTTATTTCAGCCTAATTAATTGTGTTGCTGGGCTTCTTCATAACTTCCTTCTCTCTTGAGGTAGCTACCTATTTATCATCTTGCTTCAGCAGGGATGTCTGTCTATCCCTGTGTGTGAGAGAGAGAAAACACAGCTGCAGCCAGCATGTCTTGACAGACCCAGGAAGGCAGTGCAGGTATTAGGAGCTCCAGGCTAATACCTAAGCCCTGCCCCGGTCTCACACTAGAGAACAGCTTTGCTGGAACTGGAGAAGGGGGGAGCATCTGGGCATTTTCCCCGTGTTTTGGATATGTAAACAAGTAACAACACAGCTCACTGCAGAGGCACAAACAGCCTTATTTTAATTAGGTGCACTCGCACCAGACATTTCCAGAGGTGAATCTTTATCTCCCGCAGCTTTAATTTGTCTTTGATGGTGCATTAAACCATTTCATCACCTTGAATGCCTGTAGTATACTGAACAAACACAAAATCCCAGAGGTTAGTTTTTGATTTTGCAGAGAGTGAGGAGCCCGTGCTATAATGGGGAAGCACATCATCCAAAATATATACAGCAGTAGAGTCCACTGCTCAAACCACTCTAAATAGCTAATCCTGCTATTTACATTTAATTTTAATGCTCCCTACCTCCATGTTAGCACTATATTACACAAGAAAATGAAGCTAGACAGAATTATCAGCATGAGGGTTTACTCTACTAGAATTTAGGGCTGCAGGACACATCTAGGCTTAGACCTCACTGCATCCAAAGCTCTACTCTTTGTGGGGGGGGGTGAGGGGTGGGGTGTGGAAGTATCACATTTTTTTGTAGCAAAGGAGGCACTCGAGAGGGAGGGGGAGCAAAATGACTGAGGTAGTGCTCTGCAGTGTATAAATACAGGCAAATCTCCCCCACAGTCTCCTGAGTGTTAGAGAGGTGGAACCGAGGACTGAAGAAGACTTTTGGGAGGTTTGTTTGGCATTGAAGTTGATTTTTGAGCACTTTCTGATTTGTTAATTTAATTCGTTTAGAATAGTTTGTAAAGTATTTTTCCTTTGCATGAAAAAATCTTTATGCTACTTCTGAATAGGAATAGCTAGCAAAAGTAAGGCGTGCTTAAAAAAATTGTTGTTTATTGTAGAGATTAGAGTTTGTCTGTCATTAGCCTCTCCTTCTGGTAACACCCTTTGATTTGTAAAGACTCCAGAGGTTGATGTCATATGTTCATTCCCTCAGGCAGGAGGTGAACCAGCCAGTCTAAGCTCAAGAGGCAGCCAGTTCGACACCGAGGAGCAACCCAGAGCAATGTCCCTGGCTGGGGTAAGCTGTCTGGTGACAGGAGCAGGGGGATTCCTTGGCCAGCGGATTGTCCGCTTGCTTTTGGAAGAAGAGGAGGAGCTGGCTGAGATCCGACTGCTGGACAAGGCCTTTAGTGAGGAAGCACTCAACAGGTTTGAAAGTAAGTACCATTTCATAAGGTGTGTTGCAGATATATGTGTTGCTGTCTCATATGAATAGCCTGGAAGTCTTATCGTCTCCTTCAAACCAGTTTTGCAGATAAAGGGTTTAGGTTTTATTTCAAGGAAGTCTTGCTTTATCCCTCCCTCTCCCTCCAGTTCAGAAATCAAATGTAAAATGAAAACAAGAGTTTTCTTTGTCAGGGCCTGAGGCTTCTCTACATTGGGAGAGAGAGACTGTTCATGCAGTAAACAGGCTGTCTTCAACCTGGCCTCTATTACGACAAAACCCACAGAGTGAAATTAATGTAAAAATCTCACTTTTCTGCTCTTGGGAAAGGAAAACACAAGCATTGCTATACTAGGCAGGAGGGCAGTGTTATCCAGAACATGCTGTGCTGGGCTCTGATGTGCCAGACTAGAATGCAGTGACAAAAGTTGTGGGTGCAAATTCTAAACGTTTTCTTCAACCTTTGGTTAGTTTGGTTAATAGTGATCTTCTGGCTGAGAGTTGCGATGAGGTATTTTAAAAATTGTTGTTATTAACGTTACCACAGTTTCCTGGGGAGCAGAACACTTCTGCCAAGTACGGAAGAGACAGGACCCATTTGCAAAGTGCAAGGCAGAACTCTGGCTTCTTGAATGGATTTTGGAGACAGCACAAATGAGTGATAAGCCCCCTGTTAGAAACAGTTTGTGGCAGGGAAAGCAGCTCAGAGTATTATATTTTAACTGTCCCATTTCCTGGGATACTGAGTACATTTATGAAAAGACACAGAGGGACCAAAATTCAGTCAAGGTCTTAAGTCCTTACATTACATTTACTTATTAATGCTTTCCTCCATCTTCACCTCAGGACTCTTCTTCTTCTTGTATACAGACAACCATATGTGAAACCTTATGGAATATCTCCATGTGATTTGCTAAAGAGCCTCAATCTTTCTATAAAGCATTTAAGTGTCATCAAAGAATAGTAACAGTGCACCATGAACCTGGTATAAATTGCACAAGCCTTTATGATCATTTTGTAGAACTCAGACTTCTTCCTCATTAAATCTGATTCAGCATTTCACAAAGGATTTGCTAGGTGCCCCGAGCCTTGCAGCAGCCCTTCCTACTCTGATTTTCAGAGCATTTCCACAGAGACAAAACCTGCAGCTGCAGTAGAGGCTGAGGCAGCTGGAGTGTGTGTAGTTTAGCACTGATGCAGTAGGGTAGCAACAGAGGCATCTGCACTGCTTTGGGCCAGGAGAGCTTTGTGGAGACAATCCTAAAGAGTGAAAACAAATGTTTGTGTGGGCACAGTCTTGGCTGAGCTGCAGCAAAGGTTTCTCTATTCGTTTTTTTGTTTGTTTGTTTGTTTTTCTTTTTTTGTTTATAGGCATGCATTCTGCCCTCTTTTCTTATCCTCCCTTCTTCCTCCACTAAGCGCTGCCCACACACCCCCTCTCCTATTCTTTTAACCTTCCTGCTGTCTGTCTGACCAGCACAGGAGGTAGGGAAAAGTCAAGTAACAAAGCATTTTTTCCCCCTAAACCAGGTAGTAGGAACCTCAGGCTGGCATTCCAGATGTGCTTAAACAGACTTGAACCCCTGCACTTTGACTGGCAGTTCCTTTGTCTGGATTGGCCCTTGTGGCTACATCTCTTCAAGTGTCCTGCCAGAGCCTGTGCTCGGGACTACCTGAAATACTTCCCTGCTGTTCCTTTTCAAGCCCTTCTCTATCACAGTGACTCCTATTCCAAGTGCAGGGCTGCTACAAAACCGGTAGGCCTGGAGTCTTCTGACCTGCATTATTTTTACTGTGGAGGCTTTTACTTGCTAGCAGATGTTATCTGGATTTCTTGAATAGCCAGGAGCAGAGCTCAGCAGGGTTTTTTTCTCACTAATCTCTTGAGCAGCTTGAACTTGCAATCACTTTGCAGAGTCAGGGCAGAGACAAAAGAGTATGTGCAAGTTACAGCTTCTTGTGCCAGGAGACACTCAGGGACACTCCCCTTTCATCCAAATAACATTTCTGCTCAGACCTTGACCACTGCATTCAGTCCATGTAGAACAGTGGCATTTGCATTCTTCCACAGCCCTGAGGAGTCCAGGATGATCCAATTAATGTCAAGTGCTGTGAGCTGGAATCTACCCAATGTGGCTGAGAATGAATGTCAGGTTGAACACAGCAGCCTTGGGTTTCCTACACCCCATCCCCACTTCAGCTTTATCTGTGCTTCCTGTGCTTCCACTTAACACAATTCTTTGTTTTGTTCACTACTGCACTGGCATTTCTGGCGCAGTTAGATCTCCAGTGTTGTTCTCAAGAGGATTTCTCACTTGTCCTTGTCTCATCCCTCCACATCTCTCCCCTCTCTTCCTGAACCCTCTTTTCATGTAATTTTTCAGTTGTGTGATGCTTGAGCACTGAATGGTTTTGCACTGCTAACCCAATACTGATCCAAAATAAAAGGAAAGTAAAGGGAGAAGGAATGTGAGGGTTTTTTTCCCAGGATTCTTTCTGAGGAAAAATTGCTATCTTTTTGCTCAACCTTGCAGACATTAATTTGCCTTTATCAGGGCATTCAAAACAGAAGGGCAGAGTGGAAACAAGTAGCTGAACATCCAAGTAGCTGAAAGGGGAAGAGAATAAACATTTCAGCTTCTCTGGTTTAAAGAAGCAAATACATTGCTTTACTCTTTACAAATTAAAATAAGATGTAATTCTAAATTTTCTCCTACGAATACACAAAGTAGACCATTTTAATGAACCATCCAGTTAACCAGGAAAATGGAGAGTTCTCATGAGGAATGCCTTCCCCCATGCTTCACCTCACAGATGTTAGGTCCTCTCTAAAAGTGCACTAAGAAATTCAAGCTAAGAAGTCCCACAGACACGGCTGTTTGCCTGAACTTTAAATAACACATAGGAAAAAGAAAGAGACTTTAGGGCAAATAGTCTGACTGGATCGCTGAGTCAAACACTGCTCACAACAGGACACTGAATTTTATTGAGAAATCATTACATTTCCAAGAAAAAAATACCCCATAGCAAGCAGAGAGTTTGCTTACAGCTCAGAGGAACAGAAACCACTGGTGAAGTAGAAAAAGCTTTCCCAGTGGGTAGGTACTTTCTCATAATTGCTTTATGCAAAAATGGAGAGCTGAGTTGAATTTATTCTGTTCCTTCTCCTTTGATCTGACACACAAATGGTTTTTTGATGCCTGGGCAATGGTTTGTGCAGATGGAAAACAAGTTTCTCTCTGCTATCCGCTTCAGACTAAAACCCTTGTCTGTCAGTCATTTCTTGTTTCCTCTCTCTGCTTCCAAGTTCACCTGTAGTTTTCTGTTCACCCTACACAAAACAAAATCAATCTGCTGATCCCTGACATGTAGCTGATGCTGCTAAAGTGAACAAGGCCCACTTACTGTGGCAATTTCTGCTGGCTAAGATCAAATGGAGGAGCAGACTTCCTGATTCACATCACACACACAGACTGCAAGCCCAAGCGAGGCACAAAGCAGCTAAACAGCAGATTTCTAGTGACTGGCACCAAGTATCCCTGCCATCAGCTTTAAAAGGGACAGGGTTCTTCTGTACTTTTCCTGAAATCTTTTATTTGCATGTATAAAAGCTATTTTCCTAACTCTTGCCAGGGCACTGTGATGACTTTGAAGAGGTGACATGTCAGAATTTATGTTGTGAAAACTATTTATGTCTATTTTTGGAATTATTGCAACCCCACGAAACCTTACTCATGGAGAACATCAGCCTAAAATCTGTACAAAGGCAAATATTTATTAGAGCAAATCTAACTACCAGGTTAGATTGGTAGTTAACAAAACCCTAGCCCTCATCTGATACTTTTGCATCCATACAAGTAGATTTCAGTATAAATCTTCTGGAAATTGAGTCCTAGAAAATGAAGGCACTCTGAAAAACAAAGGAGCAGAAGGGAGTATGTGACAATGACTATGCTGGGAGGGCCATAACTCTAGATTTAGTAACAGTTCTGCAAATGTTTCACGAGTCTTACATATCAGACGAACTGTCTGTGATGAAGAAAAAAGTTCCTCAAGCCTGTTGCATCAGAACAGTTGTTAAATCAATGGAGGATTACATTTCAGCATGCTATATAATGAGGTAAAACCATTTAAAAAGATACTCCCACTCAGTTCCAGATCCCAACAGCTACGTCTCTCAGTGCTTCATATTAAAGACATGAGACGAAATACTGCTTGCTTTGGAGTTGGTGATGCACAAGATTTCAGGTATGGCTGAGGCTAAAAGTTGTACAAATTGATCAGGTTCTTCTCTTATCTAAAAGGGGCATTTGATGATGGTGTACGAAGACAGAGGATCTGGCTGTGCTGCAGTCCCTCCCCAGCAGCTGTGCCTGGGGAGCCATCTAGTGCAGCCACAGCAGAGGCTCCAAGAAGACTCACTGTAATGACACCACCTCCTTAAAAGTTGTGGGTCATGCTGAGAAAGTCCTCTTCTCTCCCATGGCATTGCTGCAGCCAGGCCAGTTGAATTCGCAGGAGAGCAGCCTTCCTCAGATTGTAAATGTCTCCAAGTGATCATCCTGTGCTGGCTCATTTGTTGGTGTGGTTCTGGGCTGTGGAAAGGATGCTTCTGTTCAGCATAACATAAGGGAAGGATGGCTCTGAGACCTAGAGCTGATCAGGGTCACACACACTAGCTCCTGTGGAGGGAGAGGGCTTAAAAATCAGGAGTTAAAGCAAGCTGGGGCTAAGGTAGCTCAGGAGAACAGTCTTGAGAGTTCAGATAAGATGTGCATGCTAAAAATGACCCCACAGCACAGATGCTGAAATGGAGCCAGAGCTGGAGCTAGAAAAAGCACAATAAGTCCTGGTGAATGTACAAGAAAAAGATGTGTCAGAACTATATGAAATGTATTAGAAGAGCTGCACTATGGATAAGGTTAAAGGGCAGAAAGTAGGTGTGAACACATCTCTATGCTCACATGCTGTGGGTGGAGAGAGATCAGTCATCACCTTGAAGACAGGAGCATGCAGTGCCTGGCTTGGGTTAACACATCTATAGCCACGCAGTCTTCAGGACGTGGGTAGTCAAAGCTACTTCCCTGTGAACTTTAAAATAGTCACCCCTGAAGGAAGCTTGCTATCAGTGGAAAATATTTCTCTTTAAATATAAAAAAAGAAAGAGAGATGTTGAATATTGGCTCCAAATATATGGTAGGTAATCCAACACAGACCTCTATAGCGCTGCCATTACCACTTGACAATACAGTAATTGGAAAATACCTTCTGTTCTACCAGCCTTAAAATACCCGTCCTGTGCTGGGACTGTCAGCACCAGCCAGCCAGGGTTAGCCCTTCACCACTCCTTTCAGTGCTTTTCTTAGGATGCCTGTAAACTCTTTTGCTTTGTTTTCTGCTGCTCTTGCAGAGTTCAAGGGTAAGACTGAGGTGAAAATCCTGGAAGGGGACATCCGAGATGCGGCATTCCTGCGCCGTGCCTGTCAGGGGGTCTCACTTGTCATCCACACGGCTTCCCTCATTGACACCCTGGGCCTTATAGAGAAGAAGTTGCTCTGGGAAGTCAATGTAACAGGTGAGCAGGTGAAACAACTTTCTCAAACCCATGTCTACTATGTTCTGGTCACCATCTGCTCAGGAAAGGGAGCACCTGACCTGTGTTTATCCTGAGCCAGGCTAACTGTGTTGTTCTGCATCTTGCACAGGCATACCTCAGAGTGCACAACACGCATACATGCAGCCCTATGCAGTTCCAGGCCTCTCCACACCCAGTCTCCCACTGCAGGGCACAGCTGGATCATTCACTCTTGTCAACACTTATGTTTGCCCATCCTGAGATCTGCACAGGCTCTGCCTTCAATGGTGATAGTCATAAACCCATGTTCAGTGGAACTTTCTGAAATCAGTTCACCTCTGAAATCCCAATGCCCGTCTAAGAAATCAGTTCTTATTCTCCCTCCCCGCATGGCATTCCTGCCTGTGTACATTTTTCCATTTTTTCAAACACTGCAGTTACAGCAATGTTGTGTTGATAACATCCCAGAGCCTGTGGCTCTTTGCTTCCTATTCTTTTTCTTCTTCCTTTTCTCTTTTCCTCCCATTTTCCATAAGGTCTGTGTGTGCAAGAAGGCAGCTGAGAGGAACAAGGGCTTTCCCACCTTGAGTTTATAATTAATTCCCCAGTAAACTCAAAAGCTATGGGAAGGAGGGGTTTCAGTGCCTCATGGGTGGGATCTCCCCTTCTACTGAGGAACCCCTGTTCTTCCGGAGAAGATCAGAAGAGGGAGAAGTTTTTGGCTTAGGAACGTAGCATCAGTTGCCAGGAAATATAAATGTATTTCCTAAAAGAACAACTTCACCCCCCTCCCTGTGATCCCAAAACTCTCTATACCTTTCACAGAACTGGTACTGCCTAACCTGCATGCACGCTGAACCTCCCTGGCTGTGTTGCTTCAGCAACCTGGGGGAGATCTGGGGAAGATGTTCTTATTTACATGGATAATTTTCCCAGTTCTTTGTTCCTCTCTCCCAAAGATACAGGACTTCTTCACAGAAAAATAAGGAACAATACCTCTACAGGCACCACTTTACAAATATTGGCTACTCACCAGCGTTCAGAGCAAGAGAGAATTCTTTGTAGTTGAGTTGTCTCCTACATGCACCTTAAAAACAGCAGAATGGCATTTTAGTTGTTTTATCCTGACTTACTGCCACTATCTTCTGCTCCAGAACCTTTAATTTCTGCTCAAAGTCACAAATTGTCAGTGACCACAAATTAGAGTCCAGTGGGAAGTCTCTTAGGTCCCTGCCAGGAGGAAGAGCAGAAAGCCAAGTTCCCAGAAACCTGCGCATTGGGTAGTTTGAAAATATACAAAGGGTTAGTAGTTCAGAAAGAGGATTTGTAAAGCCCTGTCTTTATGACCATACTGCTGCTGCAATCACTTTTTTCACAGCAGAATTTGTTGCCTACATCCCTGGGGAAAAGTAATAATAAAAAATCCCCCCCAAAAAATCAAACAAATATTAAAATGTCCCCAAACCAGAAAGCTTTGTAAGCTCTGACCCCACCTTCCCTACCCCCATGCCAACGGTGTCTGTCTATGGGTGAAAAAAGCCCACCGGGCCAGTGAGGGTTAACTCATAACATTTGCTAGAATGAAAGCATGCACCAGTCCTGCTCCCAGAGCAAACTGACCCCAAGGTCAGTCAGTAAATACTGCTGTTCTCTTTTGCACGTTTCCCTCCATTTTCACACCGATGCTCTTCTGGGTTTCTGACCAGCCAAAGCACTGCTATGTACTTCATAGGCTTGCAGAATGGAAGCTTTGTTTCTCCTGGAAAATAGAACTTTTATAATACAAATGTTTCAAGAAATCAAATGTGGATGTTCACAAAGCAGAACAGAAGTGAACACGTTAAACTTGCCCTGATGCAGGACATTCCTCTGTGTCACATGCCACACAGTGCCTCAATGCACAAATATCTTTTTAGGAAGGAAGGGAAGCAAATTTTTAAAGGGAAGGGAATAAAGAAACTAACAAAATATAATCTAAACAGGCTTGGTTTCATTGAATGTACTTCCCAGCTCAGGACAGGATTCGTCAAGCTGCAGAGAGGGGAGATTGGGCCAAGCTCGGGCCAGAGATGACGTTTCTGATCTAAAAAGCCCTCTTTTCCCTCCTTTGGGAGCTCTAGACTGACTTGCATGTTTCCCTTTTGAAGGTACTCAGTTACTGCTGGAGGTGTGTGTCCGCTGCAACGTCCAGCACTTCATATACACCAGTACCATAGAAGTGACAGGCCCAAACTGCAGAGGCGACCCAATTTTCAATGGTGACGAAGATACAGCTTATGAGAGTACATCAAAATTTCCTTACGCCCAAAGCAAGAGACTGGCAGAGGATTCTGTGCTGAAGGCAGATGGCCAGGTGCTAAAGGATGGTGGCACACTGATGACTTGTGCCCTGAGATCCATGTACATTTTTGGAGAAGGATGCCCATTTCTTCAAAGTCATCTGGATAAGTGCCTGTTGAACCAAAATGTCTACCTGCGCTTCTCCAGGAAGGAGGCTTTGGTGAACCCCGTGTACGTGGGGAACATCGCCTGGGCACATGTGCAGGCGGCCAAAGCCCTGAGAGTCCCACAGAAAGCCAAGCATGTCAGGGGGAAGTTCTACTACATCTCAGATGACACTCCTCACATGAGCTACGCAGATCTAAATTATGAGCTGACCAAGGACCTGGGGTTTGGAATCGAGCCCCAGCTCCCCATGCCTCTGACAATGCTGTATTACTTCTCACTGCTGCTGGAGATCGTGAGCTTCTTGCTCTGGCCCTTTGTCAGATACATCCCCTCCACCAACCGTCACCTGGTCACCCTCCTGAACACTCCATTCACCTTCTCTTATAGAAAAGCACAGAAGGATTTTGGCTACGTGCCCCGCTACACGTGGGAAGAGGCCAAGCAGTGCACTGGTGAGTGGATTGCCTCTGTGATCCCCCAGCGAAGGCTGTACTTGCAAAGCAATGCTGCCTAAGCCTAAAGAGAAGCTGAAACCCAGCTAAACAAGTAGGGCCTTGAGCTAGAGGAGAGCTGGGGAGCAGCAGCAGCAGCAGATGACTACAAAGCATTTAAATGAATACTTTGCGTAACAGCCCACTGCCCCTATCCCCAACCTCAGAATAAATAAAAGTGAAATGTTCATTTGTTTATCAAGTACAGGCTGATGAGAGTAACTTTACTGTATAGTCCACACACTTCTACACCTTTGCAGCACAAAGATATACTGTAATAAGATTCCACACAATCCATCGTGTGAACATGTCAACCCTTCTTTCACTCCAAGCCACCCTTAAGGCTTTTGTAAAGCACAGCTATTCCTAGAGCTATGATTTCTCTTTACAAATATGTGCCACTCAGCTACACCCTATTCACTCAGTGCTGCTTGCCAACCTTACCAAACACGCAGCAGGCAGAAGCCACCTGATTGCAAAAGCTGTTAAAAAACCTTGCTCACTTTTTCAAGAGTTGTTCCACTCACCTGACAGTCAGATTTTGAGCACTGTAAGCATTGTGAGGCCAAAAGTACAATCTAAGTACAATACAGTTTCAGTAAGGACAGTGTGTGGAGGGAGAGAAGAGGGGGATTTGGTCAGGTGAACGATTACTTGTAAATTCTCATTTTCCTAGTTACAAATTTTGCAAAAAATCTGATGGGTATCCAGCAAAACAGTTTCAAGAAAATGAAAGGGAGAAAAATATTGCAGGACAGCCTTGGTCCTCTGCAGAGTCAAGGTATTTGTGAACACTGAGGAAAAGTAAAGAGTGCTGAAAAAAAACCATACTATTACCAGATTTCAGCTCGGAACAAAGATTAACCTTAGCAGATAGATGCACACGTGCTGTTCCCATTCTACTCTGATGGTCATATGAATTTCCGCAGAATGTGTACCTTGACTTTTAGGCCAAAAACACAGATCTTTTCGGACCAAACAGATGTCATCCAGTGTTTGTTTCTTCAGCGTATGTCTCACTTGTTGAAAACAACTCTAAGGATGGGAATTTCTCTGTTCTGTTCAGGATGGCGTGAACAGAAACATTTTACCTGACTCAGTACTAATGTAAATAAATCACAATTCCAGAGATGCTGACAGCTTAAAATCTGTGCTTGCATTTAATTATTCAGTGCCCTAGACATTAGATAGCCCCAGTGCAAATATTACTATTCGCTTTAGTACCACCTTTGGTTAACTGGGTAAGACCTGAAGTAGTACAATACAAAACACCACAACTTCCAGTCACATTCTGAGGACACAGAGACAAGTTTTCCAGTCTTCCATTGCAGGCCTTGTAAACACTCAGCAAAATAGTACTGTGGATGTTACTTTGAATGCCACTGCTTCACAAATCGCCATGCCATTGTCTTCACCCTTCTCCACTGAGTAAGCAGTACTCTTAACACCTCCTTCAGAGCTTCTCATCTATTGGTGAGCACACAGATCTACCCCACTCTGAAGAAGACTCATCCCCAGCTACACTGCCTGCTGATAATACCTTGGGAGACTGAATGGAGAGTGATGAGGTTTGCAGTAATTTTGAGAATATGGGACTTGAAATTTGGAATTACAAACTCCTGGGTAGGATCTGTATCAAGCAACCTTATGTGTGCACTGAAGTTTAAAAAAATATGAAGGGCATTAACACATCTGAGTTTGTTCAGGGCAGCACTTTGCTAACTAGCTGTATAACCACTACTAGAGATTGTCATGCCTCAATATCATGTTAAAAAACCCTAAAGATGTTTTTAATAAGTAAACTAATTCCCCATTATTTGGTCCAACTGATCTTATGGCAGCAGTTTACAAAGGTCCTGTCCCATCCCTTTGCCCGAGAGCAAAGTCAACAGAACAGCCCCATGTACTTAGGTCTCAGCTGCTCCAGCGTTTCAGCATAAGCTGCAAACCCCCACAAAAGGACAGCACAGGCACACATGCTCTGTTTTCCTCTTTGCTCCACCAGTGGGGTAAAAAATGGGACTGAAGCACCTTCCACTGTCACAGCTGCTCATTCATGTGAATTTAAGCAAGAGCCAAAGTTTACCTTTTTTCTGTGAATTATACAGTATTTTGAAGCAAAAGATGCTGACAGTGAGTAAAGGACCAACAGCGTGGTAGCATGGAGCAAACCAAGACACAAGTCTTGTGAGTCAGTGTTCCCAAGGCATACAATAGCCCTCAGCAGGCCAAGATTAAAGGCACTCCATTCCCAAGCTGTTTTGTTCCTCAGACTGATTTTGTAGCTCCTTCTTCCGTGAAGGCAGTACCCAGGCTCACTTCCTTTCCTATGTATCCTGTCACTAACCAGAAGAGAAGAGGTCTCAAATGTCCTGGCCAGTTTTGAATATCCCCATACCTATCCTTCCATGCAAGTTCACTAACTTCAAGCCCTCAGTTCTCCATAGACAGGCAAGTGTCACACCTGAGCTTCTGATGTCTCAACCCTCCCCTGCTCTGCCTGTCCTCTACACATTTGGCTTTTGCTCTCCCCATTGGCCATCTTTCTGGGGACAAGGGAACTTTATAAAAGGAGTCTCTAAGAAAAGTTTTCTGCTCTTGAGAGAGCTGAAGTATTTCTGCAATTCTTCTCCAGCCTTTAATGCTGTTTTTCATCACTGTCAAGCCATAGCCTGATATGGTGCTATCACAAGAGCTGGGATATGGGCTTGGATTTCCATTTGCCTCTCCCTTGTTCAGAAGTGTGATGATTCACTTTTTCCGCCATGGTGACATAATCAAATATCCTGAAGGAACATTTCCTCTTTCTTAGTCAAGGCAACTTCCAGGAGAGGTTTGGAGAGAGAAAGAAGAGGCACAACCACTTCAGGTGCTGCTGCTTTAAACTCTAGCAGAGCATCAGCACATCCTTTCAGGCCTCAACTCTTCCTGCAGCTGAGACATTACGCTTCAGCTCGCCATGCTTTCTTCCCCATCATTGCCTTCCAGGGACACTGTTCCTCTTCCCTCTCCTAGAAGCACACTTCTATTTTATTTATTCCCCTCAATGCACACCCTCTTCCACTCCACTCCTCTCATGTATTTTTTCCCCTCCAATCTCCGTTGTGCCCACTTTGTTTCCCTCCACTGTATTATGGCAAACTGCTGCTGAGTAGAGGGGGATAATCATTGCCCTCCGTCTACTTACTGGCTATGCTCCTGTTGACATAGGATACTGTCTCACCACCTTTGCTGCTGAAGCACAGTGCTCCCTCACATCCTGCTTGATGTTTACCAAGACTTACAGATTTTTTCAGCAGAGCTTCCCTCAGCCACTCAGCCCCAGCTCCAGCACACAACTTTGCATCAGTCCCTGTTGAATTCTGTCAGGTTTTTGTGGGCCTATTCCTTCAGCCCACACTGTAGCTCTGAAAGGCAACTTTGCCTTCAAGCCTGTCACCTTTTCCCCCGCTTCGGTGTCATCTGCAATCCTGCCAAGAGTTCACTTCACTGCCTCCTTTTGTCACCAAAAGCCTCCTTTCCATTCATCTCTGTACATACTCTGTTCCCCTCCAGGACTCTCCATTTCTGTTTCCATTTCCATTCCCCTCTGGGCCTCTCTGTTTACAGTCTATGGGCCTCCAGTCACCACCACTTATACCCTGTTCCTTTCCAGTTGCCAGCTTTCATTCTGTTCCTGGGAAGAAGGCTCTGAGCTGGCCACAAGCCTCCAAAAGACTCCCAAGTACACAGAATTCCCAGCCCTCTGAGTGCTGCTAGGAAAGCTACAGGTCAGCTCTGTGTGTTTACATATACACAGTTCCCTCCAGGACTGAATAAGGCTCTCAGGATTCATAAGACAAAACGCTGCTGAAGGTGGTTATAAAACACCTCTCAGAAAAGCAAAAAGGTGTTTAACACAGTAACACCCGTTATTTTCCTAGGCTAATTATATCTCATCCTAATGTTCAGCCAGAACGAAGTGATGGGTGCAGCCATGGCTCTGTTACTGAAGTAGGAGTAGAAAGGGCAATCCAGGCACACGGAAATAGAGCAGGAAAGGAAGGGGGAGAACAACAGAAGCAAAGCTGCTATTTAATAGGGGAAAGCACTTAGCACATCAAAGAGCTGGAATATTACAACACATACTAGAAAACTGGGACATCGTTCCCCAGGTTTAACAGAGGTCTTAAAATATCCACAGATGCTGCCAGAGAGAATAAAGGACAATTTTTCTTCTGCAGTTGAGTGACTTGTTTCCCAAATGCAAGCTCCCGTTGCCAGAGTCTATTTTGCCATTTTTGCCTTCTCCGTATAAGACAGTGGGATCTTTTAACCTCTCCAAGAGCTTAACGCCCAAAAATCAGATTTATAAATGCTAAATTACTTCTTCGCTGAACTTTTTTCTATTTCTTGCTACCACATACCTTCCTTCAATCCCCATAACAAGGCACTCCTGCTGAGAGGGTACTCATTCCCCACTTGTGTTGCTACTCTGACACCCCCTCCTACCTCATCAGCAATGTATTCATACCATGACAGAGACCTTCTTGTCGCCTTTTTGATTTCTTCCTTCTTGTACTCATACCATAGAATTTATAATTTTTTTTTTTTTTAAAGTTGATGCACCAATGCTCATAGACCCATGGAAAACGTTGTCCTGCTGTGCATTTCAGGTGAAATTTACAGTTCTTACTTGAGGTGTGTCTTGTTTTGGAAACACTTCCCACACTCAGCACACATAAAGAGGTTTTCTCCTGTGTGGACTCACTGGTGTCTGTTGGGGTGAGTGCTCTGTTTGAAGCAGTTTCCACACTGGGGACACACACAGGGCTTCTCAGCCTTGTGGGTTTGGTGGTGCTGGGTGAGCGCTGAGAAATCCCTGAAGCCTTTTCCGCATTGCATGTATCTGAAAGACGTCTGACCACTCTGATTTTTTTTGGTGATTCCCAAGGTGAGAGTGTCACCTGAAGCTTTTCCCACATTCAAGAAAAGAGTAGGATTTTTCTCCTGTGTGCGTTTTTCCGTGGGAGTCCAGTGGGAGCTCACCATTTGCTGCATATTAAGGGCTTCTCCCCTGTGTGAGTTCTCTGGTGTTTAATTAAATCAGAGCTCCATCTGAAACCCTTGTAACATTTGGGGCATTTGTGGGGTTTCTCTGTCTGAGATACCTCACACTGATGAAGATTTGATGTCTGAATGATGATTTTT